AAGGACTCTAGGTTACTTGTTCTCATGGGAATTTTTAGCTCGATAAATGCATGCATGGATGAAACGACCAGAAGCGATTTACATCGCACGCTTCCATCGCGCGCGCGCTTCCATCCAGAATTTTAGTTTAGCTCTCGTTTTCAGTTTTCTCTCCAGAACAAAGAGGAGCAACTATTGCAATCCATCCCGTTCGCTATGGGATTGGCGTTACGTAACCTTCATTCACGTCTACATATAAGATCGCCCCAGTTCTGCTGCAGTTCTTTTACACTATGGCAATGACGGAAAAGTTACAGGGTATAATATTAATACAATTTTGCCCTCAATCATGTATAATTTCCTGCAATGTGGACAATTCTAAGTGAACTTTTAATTGTCTTCTTTGATACAAGAATTAAGATTTTATCCAGGGAAAAATTAAATATGATTCGATTTTTTTTTCAGTTTTCCCGTGAAGCGCTGTGTCAGCTGTAGCCTCATTGGTATATTTGCAGGTAAAGGACTCAGTTTTGGCATTTATACACGATTATAAAATGAAAGTTGAAGATGACTGATTATGCAATCGATCGGTTAGTTGTTTCGGTAAAACACGCCGTAGTTAACATTATTAAATACTTCAGTACGCGCAGTACTTCGCAATCATTTTCATTTTTGGAGGGGGGAGGTATTGAGTAGATTACAGGCGACTTCGAGGAATTTTTGAGGGCTTGAATTACATCTGACAGGGCTGAAATGTGACGTACAAATTGAACCTTACTCATCGGTCAACCGGTGATTGCCTGTTCGCCAACACTGAGCTCTGGCCACACGTGGGAATTAAAATCAAACGTTAAATCTCCTAAAATGACATATTAGCAGATACCTCTTCAAGTCGCTGGTCGTTTCCACGACCTCTTCGGCCGGATTGGAAAATGTTTCCTTGCTCCTTGTAGTCATTGGCAAAGCGTCGACAAAACTGTTTTATGGCCCAATGAATAAAACAGCTGAACGGTTTTCACTCGAAAAAACAGTCAGGAAGAACCATTAGAAATCTTGGCTTAAGAGCTTGTTTTACCGGTTTGTTACCGAAGAAGCGAATAAAGTCACCATCTATCGCTTTGGTCGAACAGACCGTGACAGCGAACTGAATAAGAAATCGCTTTACTTCGAATGTTGTCATTAAAAACGGAAACAAAAACACTTGTTCCAAGAGTGTGTTGTGATTGGACGAGATGGCACGCTAATGACATTCATGAATCCAGCCCAGCTTGACGTAAGCCCGTATTATTGAAATGGTGATGCACGAGTAGTCTGTTCACGTTGTAAGGCGTTCTCACGGCAGCCATTTTGAGTTCATTAGTCCTAAAGGATTAGAATTTCAATATGTTGAAGACCCAAATACAGCAGCTATGACATCATGTGAAAACTGAAATTCTCGTATGGCTCCGAGGCTGGCACGAACAAAAAAGTTCTTTTGTTTTAGCTCTAAGCCTCAGCGCCAGGTCAGAATTTTAAGATATCAACTGCAGCACTTTCCAAATCCATGGCTTTGAATTAAACTAGTTGCTTTGATCGGCCAATAAAAGACATAAAACTAACAACGTTCTCTCTGATTGTCAGGGGCACCCAAAGCTTTTAATCCCCTTCCGATTTTCTTGGGGGTTTGTCACCTCGAGCTTTCGTGACGTGAGACATTTAAAAGAGCTTTTCCGCGTAAAGAACGTTACAAATGCAAATATACATTTCACGACTTTAGGCGTGTAAATGAGATCGCTGCTGCGTCTCTTTTAAGAAAGAGTCGCGCGCTCAGAAGTAAACTGGCGTGATTTTGCTGTACATTTCATTCAGCTCGGTGCGTTTGCAAATACCTTATGAAACCAGACTAGATAACTTTTAAAAGCAAATTGTTACTTCTCAGATAAAAAGAATCTTTACAAAATCGTTGTTATAGACTAACGATTCGATCCAACGTTCTTTATTTACATGATAGCTTTAACTTTGTCGAGGCTGTTTCTTCTTCGCTACACGTCTTGGAATAAAGAAATATGGCGTTCAGGTAAAAATGTGCACAATTCTTGGTCAGCTCTTTGAAGATTTTGACGTGAAGTAACAGGCCCTTATAATCGAACGGGCGGGGAATTTACATGTCTAATGTCATAATGTATGCTTTTGCAGCTATAAGGGTTGTTGTGCGGAAAAACTCTAATGCCTGTTGTAACGGTCGTTTTGTGTCTCCAAAATTCGGAATGGCAATAGGATCTAAAGTTTAAGGGAAATGGAAAAAAAGCGCTAATTAATTCGAGAGGACTCAAGTTCCCCTAGAAATGAATGACCGAACAGATAAACATGTTTTAGCGCAGCCTAAAATTAATCTCCAGAACTTAAATCCGTCATTGGGTGCTCCTGTGCTTGTGCATAAAGTGAACTGGCGTGAGACGCGTGCAGTGGTTCTTGTAAAACTCGCCGGTGCTGTGCCGGTACATATTATCTGATTTTGTTTCGGCGTGTGGAGCTCCTCCACTGAATGATATGTTTCTGGGATGGTATTTTGGTACGTGCAGTTATTTCATCTACCGGCTTTCAGTGGCTTTTTCAAGCAACCTTTACAGTCGGTAGACATAGCTCCGATAATGCAGCTCTCATTACAGCTTGTTTAGAAGATACGTTGATTTTTACATGTTTTACTTGCAAATGATTAAACAACACTGCAGTACGTCAAGTTTCACAAAAATGCTTTTATTAAACAAATCTACTCTATAAATTAAAGTCTCACAAAAATTTTATAGCCGCTCTAAAAAATGGCAAGGTTTTTTCATCGATAAAGAAAATTTACAAAGACGGCACACGGACGGATCAATCTCTTAAACTAATTGTTAACTTCGTGACTGCATAGTTTAGGAATGGATTAGCCGAACACGAGACAAACTAGTACAACTGATGTTAACAATTGTAAAATACTGATCTGTGATATCAGATACCGGTCCATCTTCCCCTTAAGGCTCAGCCGGACAAGGCATTCTTAAGTCAAGTTAGTCATGATATCAGATAGCTACTTGAAAAGCTACAATTGTGCCTACATTTTTGGTTTCTTTATTCCTAAGTAGAAGAGCTTTGTTTATAGAAATCTAACCTTACTTAGTTACCATCGGTTTCTTGTTAATGCTTTAATGCTTAAAAAAATCAAATTATTCAGCTCACCATGAACTTTTCTTAAAGCAGGAATTACAATGTCAAACAATAAAAAGTATTTATTGTCACACGAGTTATTTATAATAAAAAAGATAAATACAAAAAGCTATAATATGTTTCTTCCCAACTTCTTACATTAATGAAATGGCCAACGGTCAGTTGCAGAAAGAGTTGGAAAAATTCAGCTCATTTAGTTCTCTCTAAATCTTTTTTCTAAGACAATAAAAATTTTAAGCAATAAAAAACGATTCTTATCACACGAATTATTCTTGACAAAAAAATTAAATATAAAAGGCCAAGCTACTTCCCAACTTCTTGCAATACTGAAATGGTCAACGGTCACGTACGGAAAGAGTGGGAAAAATGACTTAGGTTGTGTTCACACTTGGTGCCTTGACACCGTCCCAAAATAGTGTTGCATCCAGACCCTGGGTACTCTAAAGACCCAAGTACTATCTAGTGCCCGAGCACAAGGTCGAAACTTTGTACCCGGGTACATGCATTGTGCACGAATTGTGGTATAAACATGCCCTTAAAAAAAAAGGTGTGTTCACATCAGCGTTCAGCGAGAATTGTACTCGGGCACCCTTCTTAGACACCAAGTGTGAACATAGCCTTACTTTTTGATTTAACAACGAGAACATGCAAGTTGCTACTACGTCCTTCACTTGTGTTGTAAATAAATTGGATACTCGTTAAAACATTCTTCTTGCTGATCTCAGCTGTAGAATTGCTAAATATTTGAGAAGCAAGGGGACAATAGCTCCATTTTTAATTGACCAACAAGGACCGCCAAAATTGCGGCTAATCAAGGAAAAAAAGAACAAAAATTGCGGCACTAATAGCTAATTTTTGAAGAAAATTCTGATGTTAAATAAAAATTTGTAAAGAGAGGCAATTTTTGTTTGACAGCAAGGACCTGCAAGCTGCAAATAGCCACTTTTGTTGAAAATTACCTTATGGAATGTGTGTTTATGCTACTATAGTTCTAACTGGTTAACAAAGTCACTGCAAATACAGCTTCTATCATGTTGTAAAATGCTTTTAGATCGGAATAATCAGTGAATTCCAAGTTGTAAACTCGTCGGCCTGTTATGACGGACGCAACTTGTCCCAGGTTCCCACTTTGATGAGCTCCAACTCTTCGCTTGCGCCAGGCATGCTTCTGGGCACTGGAGACCAGTCGTCCTGGCTGCACCATGCGGAGGCCTGAAAGAAAAGATTCTTGTGAGAAATGCTTTCTAAAATGAGTAACTTATTAATATAAAAAAATCTAAGGGTGATCTGTTTGAGAACAGCACACGCATAGAAAAGGCGGTTTTGCACATTGTTATGTGAACACGATTTGGTGGTATGTTTAGATTTTGTGAGGTCTATTTTACTAACGAATAACAACACCTGGAAGTTATTGTCTGGAAAGCCTAGAGAATTGAAAGTTTCGATTCCCAGCGATTATTCGTGTTTGCATCAAGCTATGTGAACATGCGCTGGTTTCTATTTCTTCAAATAAAGTTCGAGCGAAGCGAAAGGTACTGAGAGAAACGAATCCTGAAAAATTCGAAATTCTGCAGTCAACAAAATTTCGTCAAATTTTATAATAAAGCATTACTACGAGTACATAACAGCTTTAGTCGTTTTGTTACCTTCCAGGTCAATTATCTTTTTGGTTTTCTCGCTTTCGTCCGTTGCTCCTTCCTCGATTCTTGACCTCAACTCAAGTTTGTGAGCATCCTCGGTGAAGAAAAGTTCTCCAAAGTGTGGATATTTGTTGCCTAAAATGGAAAAAGGTCGAAGATTATGAGAAATAACCGTAGACCAATAAATTATCAAAGACGGGTCGGGTCTTCTCGGATCTTCTGGAATAATCGTACGTAAAGACTATTCTCTCGATTCAAGAATTCCTTTTTGAAAAACGGCATTGAAATATAAAGAGGGCATTTCTTTAAACAAAGGCGCTCCTAGTCTCCTTCGCAGCTTGGGTTGTCGTGCAAAGAGCATCGCCTGACGATCCAAATTATGCCTGTGAAGTATACTAAATGTTGCAAAAAAAAAAAACAAAAAACTGATGGACACATTGAAAGAAATACAAGTCACAGTTGTAAACGTGACCTCCGCGTTTCCAAATTTGTCGATCATGCAATCCACCCCTACTTGTAGTGCTCGTCACTTCTTAATGGGTTCTGGTCATTTGCCGAGCACCGCGCTACAAAATCCATTGCTACTGTTGGATTTCCTTTGCTCTAGGTATACAGAAATTCACTGCGTCTGTAAGCTACCCTAAAATGATACAAAGGACTTTCGACAGTGGAATAATAACCATCAGCTGAACTTTTAACATTATCGAAACGCAATCACAACAAATTACCTTTCTTTGAGTGAAGGAACACTTTTACTCCGCTGCAAAACTTTTCCACGGCTCGTCTTTGATGGAATGTTCTTGTAGGTCTGGAGAATTCGGGGAACAACATCCGGTAGTTGAATGCGAGGGCTGTTGCTAGGATACCACCTGTCACTCGCGCATTGGGTAACTCGCTCAAAGAGAAATGATCACCAGGACAAACGAGCTTGGTTGTGCCTCCATCTACCAGCTGGCCCCATAATTCCTCAACGCGATATACTGCAGAAACTCCACCCGAGAAGCAGTCGCATTGGGCTTTGACATAGGTGAGATGTCCACGATAGCGGACCTAATGATAGAAAAAAGAGGTTGCGGAACTTTGGCATAATTCTCTGATGGTCAGTGGCCACGTTTAATGATTTGGCGTTCTCTTCATCCAAGAAATGCTGGTAAATACTGTTGCAAGTTTTGCCTCAAAGCATTGATTGAATTATCGCATTATTTAATTCTTACATGACTCCGTTATATTGGGTGGAACAGTAATTGAAAATCAATAAGACATGTCCCATACCTCAGCAGGCTGCCATTCTTTGAATGTTCTAAAAGAAACTTTGTGGTTTGTTAGAAGAGCCCTCCTGAGTGCCCTCAAGTTGTAGTTAGCGAGACCCTTCTCAAAGCTCCTTCTCTGCAGTTCATCTATGACCCAGTCTTGAGTGTGCTTCTTCCTCAAGGTTTTGAATTCTTCAGCTTCCATCTTTAGAGAATCTACAGCCAGTTTTGCCAGAAAGTTCTCAAAAGCAAGCTGTAACGGAGAAAAACGAATCAATTAATTTTTATTTGTTAATCGATTATTGGCATGCATGAAGACGCTTTTATTAACCTTTACCGCTAGGAAATAGCTTACTGGATGGCGTAGCGAATATACGAAACACACATGTGAACTGCGGTTGAAACATCAAACGAAATTGTTTGGGCGATACCGGTGCGTCGCTCTACCGAAAGGAGATAAAAAGCGTTGATACTGTAACCAAAGTAGCAAGCATTGCTTGCACTCGTGATCTGCGAGGAACATTCCATTCATTTGAGTACCAGTGAAAACTGAGCTACACTGCAGTTGCTCCACCAAGAAAAAATGCGTGGTCAACGGAACTTGAAACAGTCATTCAAACAAAAACTGAAATTAAACCTCATAAAGATCTAGGCATATATAAAACAAATACTTCATTCCGTAGCCTTCAGCTGGTACCCGTTAACTTTCTTACCATTCATTTATATATAACTATTTTTCTCTTTCTTATTTAAACGCTTTATTGCCAACAACCAAAGAGGAAGTTTTCGATTTTGTTACTCAGCGCTAGCTAGATTTTTTTTTAATAAGTTAGTTTTTATAACAAGATGGTATTGAATTAGCCAGGTAATCACTATCTTATCGTTGCAATGACCACTTTTCCCACGAACCTGAACCTGTCCAAGTTGAAACTGTTCATCGGCAACCATGGAAACAAGTCTATTGCTGACAGTCCGCGAGCGCGGATACCAAGGAAATGTGTCAATCATAGCCACAAACTCCACCCTCTGGTTCTGCTCTCTCAACAAGGACGCCATTTCGTAGGCAACAAGCCCTCCGTAGGAATATCCGCCAAGAAAGTACGGTCCATGGCGCTGCTCCGCGCTGATCAGTTGTACGTAATGTGCGGCAAGCTCACGCACTCCACTCCAGTCCTTACTCACTTCTGTTGGGTCAGTATAGCCCAGGGCATAGAAGGATATTAAATCCTAAGAATGGTAAAGAAAAGATATCAATA